TATATATATTATAAGTTAATGTATAATGTATAATTTTAACTGATTAATAATTAAATTACATATTATATTTAATTAGTTTTATTAAAATTTCATTAAGAAATTTTTTATTTTAATTAACAATTAAATGTTATTTAATTAATCAATGTATTAGTTTAATTAATTTGTCACATTAAATTTTATCTTATACATCTTATTATATTAATGTAACTCCATGGAATGTGAGATTTATTAGCTCAAGCTCGTTTAATAAACAAACATTCATTTAAATATTAGTAGAAACTATATGTGAAAAATATGAATTAACTAAAAATAAACAAAATTCATAATATTTCTTCCAATAGTACACATACAAAGTATTATCATTTTTTTAATGGTGCTTAATCTAGGTGTATATCTAAGTGATGGTTGAAGTGGTCAATATCGAAACTAATATTCTTGAACTTCTATGTCAATGTAATATTCTTCAATTGCATCATTCATAGTTTTATGTGACATCTTGTAGTTTTCTGCTTTCATGAGAATTAATAGTGTATAAATCGGAGATGTACCTCAGTCTAGGCCTATATCAAATATTTGAGGTGTAGATATAGATGCAGACATTGTCAAGCTCTAAAAATTTAAATTTAGGTCTCCACCAACAGAAGTTGTGGACTATAAGTCATATGATGTACCCTCATATGTCGATGTTCCTGCATATTATGAGGGTCTCGTAACGGTCCTGGATACAATTGATCACGTGACTCGTCTAAGGGAGATCTTCGTGTTCTAGCAACTGAAGATTTCCTTGGAGCATCGACTATTGATCGCCTCAGAGTAGCAAAAGCTGACTGACGCAAAACATTAGAAGTTGATCTACGGGGTCCATGTGGTCTTACATTTGTTCTATGAGATAACCTTGCTTCAAAATTATGTCCACATAGTAGATCAAGTTTATTATAATCAATATGAATTGATTTTTGCACTCTACATGATAATTCCATGATCTTATCATATTCTTATTTCATGGAACTAGTATTTCCAGCTTGATCCCCTTCAAATATTTCTACACTTCCTTTGCTGCAAATAAACCAGCCCATCTGTATAAGTTAAAACTTTAATTTATTATTACACATCATGGTAGAAAAAATTACTAGTATTTATAACATATATTTATAACGTACTATTCTCTCTTGGTTTTGCGCTCGACGATTGTCGTATTTTCTGATATAGTCATAGTGATTGTGCGTCTTGTCACCTTCTAATTTATCTAACTCATTGAATCTCATAAAATCTTGTTTTATTGGGTCAATAACTATGAACTAAATGCTTGTCGTATCACGTAATATAAAAAGGTGTCACTCACACACTTCCAACTAATAAGTGGAGCGTAGGTAAGTCAAATATCTATGCTATCAAAGCATATCTCATGCAACAACACCATTTAATCATTTAAATATGACATCCAAATAACCACATTATCAAGTTTTATCTTTAGTTATTTTTGACATAAGTAGTACTCATAAACATGAGATTCAATGGAAATGTTTAGTATACTTGGCTTTGTTTGAGCCCATCAAGTTCGCCTCTATACATCTTCACAATTCATTATCCACTCTTCATTTCATCCACATGTTATTGAAATAAAATAACAAACTTTAATAAATATTTGTGTGTGTGTTTGTGTGTATAATTGATCATGTACTAGAATCCAAGTGATTTGCTTGATAATTTGTGAGGAGTAGGAACATAAAGAGTAGAAATACCAACATATAAGTGCTTTCAGCGCCACACTTGAAGTAAGTGCAAACACTCAACGATAGTAATATAGGTAGACTTGGTTGATAGATTTAATTCTCTATACAAAAGTGTTTGCACCATATTTCCCAAAGAATATCCTCTTAACTCATCCAAATTCTTCAATAATGATAAATATTGCAAATGAATATATTATCTAGATGTATCTAGAAGTAGAAAATAATATAATATCTACAAAATATAAGCTGCCTTAAAAAAATATTTGATTATAAATCATCATAAGCCTCCCTATAAAATTATCATTGGAGACAACTAATTATTTATGATTGGGAGTGGCCTCTATAGAAAATCTAGGCAATCTCATGGTTTTGGGGATGGTGGTAGATAACATCAGGCTTGGCGTGGCCACCCAACAACTCATCATAACATGCTCTCTAATTCGATCAGTGCAAACCAAGGCCAATAACCATAAGCCCCATTAAGACATTTTAATCCACCGTGACGCCAAAAATTATTTGGACATCATGTAAAGTGATAGTCATCTCATATTACGGAAATATATAATATATAAATTTAAAAATTATAATAATCACAGTAATATGTTAATATGAATGTAAACTAATCTTACATGCAGGGAAATGAAATGTATTTGTTTTGGAGCAGTACCACTCCACCATTGTAGTTATTAAGTGAAATTCTAATTTAATGAATCGTGAGTGTCTAAAACAATTGATACCTATATTTTACAGTATATAAATAAACTGTGGGCAATGCATTGGCTACTCATCTACCACTATTAATTGGTCGTCTGCTTCAATAATTATATAAAAATTCAATCATTTTATCAGTGATTTTGATTTGTCATAATCTTTGTATCAAAAAAGCATTTTATATGACATGATCTTGGTTTGTTGTCTAATGTAATCCATCTAATGATAAAAGGCTTGAAAGTGCTTTGGGATGTATTGATATTTGCCTGAACATTGTGTCTAACATAATGGTAGTACTCTCCCGAAGTTGTAGCCTCGATCATCTCTACTAATTAATGGAAGTGGTAACAAGCTAAAGGTTAAATGTGAATATAAAAATTCAAAAGAAATAATAATTAAAAATTAAGGAATTTAATTGTAATATGTTATCTAATATCTGCTTGTACTTAATTGGATTAATAGGGACATATTGCTCTATTATGTCCAATATTATTACAAATACTACAAACTCTCGTGCTTATAGCTCTAATTATATTTATAATTCTATTTGTTTTATCTGTTCTTGGTCGACCACATCTTCTTTTAAATAAAGGGGAAACAAAGTAATGATCACTTATTGTTGAGCACACTGTAGCCACTATTATTTCTCGCTTGTCACATGAAATAATTGACGATTCATAGGTATGACAATAAAATTTAATATAATCTACTTAAAATGATGTGATCTAAAGTCTAGCTCCTAAAGCCGCAATTGCATATGCACACGGTATGTGATATATTTGTGGCTTATTGCATGTACAAGACTTATTTTAACTCTTTGCTTAAATCCATTGTGGTGTATTAGTTGAACATTTCAAAAATAAAATAATTAAATTATAATAGGTAGCACATGGGAAACCTTGAATTTGTAAACCTCGAGCGCTTGAGCACTTTGTTAAAACATTCAAATGCATTTTTGGTCATTATTTTGAATCTATAGCCACTATCATATAATAATAATTCTTAATATCATTCATGTGTCTGTTAAATGTGTGTGTTTCATCAGTATTTCCAACCCATTATGTTTTATTGTAAATAATACTGATATCTCCTATTGCAATGCACCATACTGCATTTTTAAATATTTTTGTAGATGATGCAAGCAATGCCTGTGTGTAGCCCATGAGAAGTTCTCGCTATAACCATGAACAATGCTTGGGTGCCTATTTGATATTATTTAGAGGCCTTCATGGGTCTGAAACAACCTCTACCAAATTATACAGTGGTTATAGAAACCATAATCATGACTTAATATTTTCAAATTCAACCACTGCAAATGCGAGTGGAAAGAGACCCCAATGTTTGTCAATTCCTGCAACAACTATCAAAGTCATTATATGTCCTAGAAGAAAAGTCTCATCATGATAAGAACAAGTTGACAAAATCTTCAGCTAGACATACTTGAACTAAATGCCTAGAAGATACTATGAAAATACATATTATTTCTTACTTATATTATATATACAGATTCATAAATCATTTTGTATATAATTGTCATTAAGAAAAATAAGAAGTTATATGACTCCTCGTAACAACCAAAAATTAATTTGATAGTTTTTTCACATGCATCTCATGTATTTATGTATGTGACCCGAACATTAAATTTTTACTCTATTCGAGCAATATTTTTTTTAGTCTTCAGGTCATGTTGTTGTCGTAGAATAACACTTACTAACATATGAATTTTGAATTGTAATTTTGGACATAATTGGATGAGTACATGTATGTGATGCCCCAACTATAGATATTTTTCATACACTCGCTTAGCGTTGGCTCTTGGATACATGCAGATGTCAATAACATGAACAATCTGATGATTGTAATA